GCCTTGCAAATTAAAGAAATAACAATAGATGGTAATCCAGTAACTTTAAATACTGATTATATTTCCTTTCTTGTTTCGTACTTGCCAAGTCTGCAACTTCTATCAACAATGCAAATTAGCGAACAAATTCGAAGAACAGCGATGGCTTGGAGATTTTCTAAAGAACAATCCAATTCAACATTTCTTGATCTTAGTACGCAAGTTTGTATGAGCGTACGTAGGGAAGAAGTGATATCAAATGCTAAAACAAATTGGGAATTCCTCAGAACTAAAGTCTCGCTTGACAATTCCAATAAAGTGGCGAGCAATAATACAAGCAACAATAATATTAATATATTATTACGCACACAAAGTTCAAATAAATTCAATGCTATAAATCCAAAAAGTTTAGATAAAGCTAAAATAAAAGGTTTTGGTAGTCTCACGTCGATAAATGAAAATATGGAAGCACGAAAGATACATATAAAAAAGAGAAGCAGTTCTAGCGAGAATTTGTTCAAGTTAGAAGACACATCTAAATCGTATCTTTTAGAATTTAAACTTCCACCTATACTAGGTTCGATAGTAAATAATTTAACAAGCAATAGATTCGACAATAGATTGTCTAAAAATAATAAAGAAAATGACCGTAAGATGAAAGTGCTCAGTGAACATATCGAAAACGTATCCGATAGCGAGACTGACAGTTCACAGAGTCATGGAAGCTTGAAAAGTGGCTTAAAATATCATCTATTTACTCCTACTATGTATGGTCCAACTATAGATTATAATAAATCTATCGTCTGTAATGAATTTACTGTAGCGAAGGATATGTCCTCGATTACCGCAGCAAATTTTTATATTAACGATCATGAAAACCATGCACACGATAAGGAAGCATTTGCTGCAACTCCAAAGAATTCCTTAAAATGTCATGATGCAGTGCGAAACGAAAATACAGGCTTAAATAATAGATCGTTCCAAAATACAAAAGTATTTCATGCTCAAGATGATCAGAATGATTACCAATCAAAATCGACCACAATTTCTTCTGGATATTTTTCTTTGAGTTCAAAGACTAGTAGTGTAGACAGTTGTAAATCATTGTTGAGTGATTCTAGCGTTTCATCGATTATTAAAAACGCTCATAAATCTCACGAAAGTGATAAGGATCATAAAAATAGAATTAAGAGTGCTCAAACAAAAAAGATAGTATATTATAAAAGTAATAGAGCTGCAACAGCCAGAGCGAAATTTAGAGCTCTTGCTCCGTCAAGTCCGCCTCTTCAACAAGTACCACCTAAAGAAAGGGAACAGGGTAGAGATCTTTTGATTTTTTCTGTCCAAACACAATATATACTCATATAAACAATAAAGAGCATACAGCCACAACGCTTGATATAATTTGCTTAAAACATGTATTTAATATAAAATAAGTAAACGTTTCGGTCAATATTTGACCATCTTCAGTACATTTAGAATATAAGGTTACATAGATAAAAAAAATTCCCTATCTGATAAAACAAACTAAAACTTTTTTCTCTTGATAACAAAAATCGTTCGCAAATTTAATGAAAATTACAATATAACATGATACGAATTCGAACAAGTAGATTTCCAACGCAGAAATTGTGAAGTTGCAGAGAACAACAGAGTCAGGATGTTATAAATAAAAATATATTCTCGTCAAATACGTGATTACCAGATGCTATCCAAGTATTATTGAAAAACCGAAAAAAACCGAGACATTAAGATTTATAAGTCAATTAATTTCTAAAATATTCTAATTATGTCATCAATAATTTTTGATATGCTTACCACGTATTCGTTGATAAATATTCTTCCGACAAGTCGCAGATTTATCTCTTCACAAAAATTCAAGCAAATAGATTTTAGTTTTAAGTATTAACCTTGTCTAAACGTGATAATTATTATTGATCAAGATATTATGACCGCTCACACAAAACCAATTTATATTGTAATCTAAAGAAGAGAGAGGGAAAGTTCACTGGAAGGGATAAAGGATTATTCAAGAGAGGAAGAGATTTTGCTAATGATAGGAATATACATTTCTGGAAAACGATCCGTATCACTCTGCTTGTTCAAACTTTTCCTGTCTTTTTATGTGGATCATCTCCGAGATTAATCTTTTATAGTACGATTGCTCTGAGTTAATTATCTTGGTGTTGTTCCAATCCATTTCATGGTTAAAATCAACACATACTGTGATATGACAGACAAACTATTCACTGGTTTTTGATCATTTCTGTGTTCTTTTAATCTAGTTTTTAGTTTACGCTTAGTTTGTCCGACGTATGTGTAATCGCAATCAAGGCAGCATATTTTATATATCAAGTTCGATTGATCTTCTTTTTCGATTATGTCTTTGCCTTTTTTATAAATGAACTTAAACTATTTACTGGCTTATGAGCAATATTAAAATTATATTTTTTTGTAATTGTAGTGAATTTTTCAGATGTTTTATTTAAGTATGGAATGGTGAAGTATTTTTTATTATTAGTTAAATCAGAATTTGTGTTCATGTTACGTTCATTTATAATATCACAATTATTATTGTGAGACAAAGATTTTATTCTATTATTAATAGTTGAAAATAAAAAATGTAAGGGATAATCATTTTCCAAGAATGTATTAATTAAATCTAAGATATTTTTATCATGGAATTTAGGATGAGAAAGAAATAGGACTCTATCCAATTGACCAATTACTACACCTCTCTTGTGTATCGGAGGATGATTCGAATGAAAATTTAAATATCGGCCAGAGTTTGTGGGCTTCTTGTAATTATTGAAGATTATTCTACTATTCTCAATCAACAATCTCACATCCAGAAAACTTATTCCATCCTCGTTACCATATTCGACTGTGAATTTAATTCTCTCATAGTACGAGTTAAAAGAATCAAGTGTGGAAACAATCTGGTTGTTAGGCAATGCCATAATGATATGGTCACCATAACGAAAGTAAAACGGAACATGGGTGGTAAGCGTATTAAAAATGTTTGATTCCAAATCTTGAATCACAATATCTGCCAATATTAGGGAGAGAAGTTGTTTTATCAGATAAGGAATTTTTTTTATCTATGTGTAACTTTATATTCTGAATGTACTGAAGATGGTTAAATATTGACCAAAACGTTTACTTATTTTATATTAAATACATGTTTAAGCAAATTATATCAAGCGTTGTGGCTGTATGCTCTTTATTGTTTATATTTGTTATTTTTAAGCCACTTAACTATCTTTATTTAATATATATTCATATTATTTATACGTGTTTGTGTAAAATGAAATGTAAAATCGAATCATTTTCTAGGTGGGGATTATTTAATAGAAATCGTTGGTCGCTGCCTGAATATATACGGTCAAGGTGCTTTACGCTTTATAGATAAAACTTGGGACGTGTCAAAGGCTCAAGATGTCAACGTTGTAAAATTTAATTATGTACAATTTAATGATGTGGCAAAAATTTTAAGCAAATTAAAGAATAGATTTCCTCATGCGGAGCATTTCATATTTAAAGAAACTAACATCAATCTTCTTGGTCAATTAAATGCCTTAGCTGAAGTACAAGGGTTGACCAGTATAGAGATAGATGCAGGGAATCCTATTGTGTCTAAGAATTGGAAAATGTATGCTATATTTCGATTAGCTCATTGGGGACTTGCAGTTATCAATGGCAAGGAGGTATAATATATAAGACATACAAATCATGGTAAATCGTTTAATGAAATATGTAAAACACATGCGCGCGCACGTATTACAAAAGATGAATTAATCGTTGCCTGTTTTAACTTTCTGACGAATTCTTTTTCAGGAAAATTGTGTGTGTGTGTGTGTGTGTGTGTGTGTGTGTGTGTGTGTGTGTGTGTGTGTGTGTGTG